TAGTCTTAGAGAAAGATTGGAAAAGATTATGTCCTCTTTTGGGGTGTCAAGATTTTGTGTTGCAGATTCTATGAATGATTGCATCATTGGCACTAAGCTAGCCAAGTGTGATGGCTGGTACATTGATAATATGGTGTTTCTCATGGTTGACCATCGTGAGTCCCTGCACATCATCATTGCATGATCAATTTCTTTTGTGTGCTTAGATTTTGTATATCAAGTATTGTTTCTCATTGGAGGACAAAGATTTTGGAGAACCATTGGATTACGAGTATTCGAATCTCAAATTAAGGACAAGAACATGATGATCACATAATGGAAATGAGGTTTAACTTAGTGGCTATGCTACCTCCACTGAGATATCCACAAGAAAAAGGTACACAAAGGTGATCAACAAATAAAATTTCTCAAGATTTTGAATAAATTTTAGCAAAAAATTATGGACGTTAACTGACATAAGTATTTAAAGAAATGTCATTATTAGGAATATCTTTTAGCGAATACATTGTGTCACTCAAGTGTGATTTCAACAAGAATTATTACTTATTTTATGTTATTTGCACTCATTCTAGTGCTTTGTTACTAATATTGTTTTTTAATATGGATTGAAAATCACAGATTTTAATAGATTTTATTATTAAATTATAGACTCTTTACATGAGATAGGTGAAACTCACAAAATATATGATTTCTAATAACCTTTTAATATTACAATAAAGAGAGTTAAAAAAAGTATCACTAAAATTCCTAATATTTGAAAATCTTAAATACTCATTTTCATTTGTCTATTCTCTGAAGCTTATTGAATATAACTCGTTACAAAAAAATCCATACCTGGTGAAGAAGAGACCTTTTTGGTGAAGAGGAGAAGCAGAAATAGGAGAGGGAATGCTTCTGTTTGGAATGTCTTTGAATTTTTTTATTCCCACCTCTTTACAAAGCTCTGGATCTGCTACCAGGATTAGTGGTTGTCTTCCCATATGAAATCTGCTCCATTAAACAAATAAGAACAAAATCATCAACAGTGGCAGTGAAAATCATAGAGAAAAGACTGTCATGATAAGTTTGTCGACAATCTTATCTTACATAATAATTTATAATCATATGATACTACAGTTTAATAAAATTCTTAAATATAACTGGCGGCTGATAAAATAGTTGACGACAATAATAATATATAAAATCACACAGTAATTCGTATTCATCTTTCCCTTTCTCTTCTTTTCTTTTCTCATGTGAAAATATTCCTTTTTTAGTAACTTAATAATCTCCCACAAAAAGAAAGAGAAGTTTTTTTCGTACACTGGTTAAAAACACAGGAGAACATCATTAACATTATTTATTGTATTAAATAAATAAACTCAAATTTAATTTTAAGTCTATTTGCAAAAGTGTGTCAAGTTAAAATTTTATAAACTTAACATTAAAAACTTGTGTACGTTTCATTGTGGTAAAAAAAAAAAAAAAGTTACATATGAAAAGGTTAACAAATTAAAATTTTACTCTTCTTATTTTTATATAATTATTCTTATTTTTACTTTATATTTTAGCACAAAAATATTTTTACTAAATATTTAAATTGAAAAATTGAAAATATTTTAAAATTATAAAAGGAACAAAAATTAAATTATCAAATAATTAAATTATTATCCTATCTTTATATTTTTAAACAATTCCAAATTTTAAAGTTGACTTTTCTTGTCTTAATTAATTTATGATCATGGATCAAGCCAAGTATGTAAAGTGAGAAAAGTAATATGCATTCATCATTGCTTTGAAATTAATTAAATTTATAAAGTACTTCAATTCAATTCAACTATGCACACACCTTTAACTCTCTTTTTTGTTTTACATGCTTGTTCACTTAAAAAAAAAAAAAAAAAACATAAAAAAGCCTCAAATTCTTAAGCCATCAAGGACAAAAACAGAATCTTTGTTCCAGAAGGTTAAGTGTATGAAATTGAGGCAAGTCTTAATAAATGTCAAGAGCAATTAAATCATGGTACTATAAGTACGGGCATGCTTATTATTATGCTGATGCTGCCCCTCTTGTCACATTTGCAAAACTATTAATCAACTTTGCAAACAAGAACAAATAGATCACAACATAACCTTAACCTTTTTTCAAATTTATATGATTATATCTACTTCTTCCCAGGCAATATGCACTATAACACTGTCCCACCACCATATAATATAATATAATATATATATACTCACAAGTCAACGATATATAACCTCCATAATTAATGACCAAATATCATCCACAACCAAATGGAGTTTTAGCCATTTTTAATTTAATATATTCAAGTTGCGTATGTATCATACCAAAACTGATGATACCTTTATCTTTTTCTTCTCATTGAGAGAGAGAGAGAGAGAGAGAATGAGCCTAACAAATCAAATTGACTAAATTTTATTTTTCTATCCTGTGTTTGATTTTCGTCTGCAAATATTTCAAAATTAACTCAATTTATAAGTGTGTTTGAATTTCCGTTCCAACACATCAAACATGATGATATGAATCCACTATGAGACAAGTTTTATGATTTGAGTGCTTTGGAGAGTGAAATTAATAGTATTAGACTTGGAGAATTACTTCCTACACCCATGTTTTTAGATGTTGCACTCATTGTATGTGTTTCGAAATACATACATAGGATGAATGCAAGATATAAAATATAGTAAAATCTTTGGAGCCTGATACGTATAGGAAAGTAGAAACCTGTAGATTGGGCCGTATTCCTTGGCGAGGAGTGAGAAGAGATCTGGGCC